TTGAGGTCAAGGAGGGAATTTCGGAATTTAGGGCTCCAGTCTGCCCTCTTGTGTTGAAAATCAAGGTGGCACCAAGATTGGGTGGAGCACAGGTATCTCAGAGGGCTCTGGGCGTGGAGGGAGGGGTGAGGCCAACAGCAGGATTTGATTAAAACAGGAGGAGAATTTGGGAATGGCTGGCAATGAGGACAGGAATGGTGGTACAAGGTAGAATAGAGGGCAGCTCCCTTTTGGATGAGCTAAAGTCTACAAAGCTATGCGAGGTGGGAGGTTGGTCAGCACAGCACTGGACTTCTGTGCAAGTAACAATGACACACGGGGTTGGGGTCTTCCAATGGCTCTGACGATGGGGCTATGAACCATGGAGAGAAACCTTGACTGCTCCTGCCTTGTGCTGATCTTATTTCCTCGGGTCCTGTGTCTGTTGCAGGTGGGAGGCCGAGCAGAGACTGAGACAGTCTGTGGAGATGGATATTGATGGACTGCACCAACTGAAGGACACCTACACACAATTACAGGCTGGTCTGGTTGATGAGATTGCTGCACTGGAAGGCGAGATTGCAATCATGAAGAGGGACCATGAAGAGGTGGGTGTCACAAACATGACAGGATACTACCCCCTAGTGCCAAGAGTGGAATGTACAATGGCAATGTGATGCCCCCTAGTGTCAATAGAGGGTAATAGTATAACAATGTGATGCTCCTTTGTGACAATAGTGGATAATACGTTAACTATGTGACGTCCCCTAGTATCAATAGTTGGGAATAAAGTAACAGGATCCTCCATTATGCAAGGGGTTGTATTGTTTTAACATTTTATCACCTTTGTTCTTCAGCAACTGAGGCTCCTGCGCCAGCAGAAGACTGCAGATATCGATGTCGAAGTCGACTCTGCTCCTTCCATTGACCTGGCAGCGAAACTACAGGAAATGCGTGAAAGTTACGCCAAGCTTGCAGACCAGAATAAAAAGGATTTGGACACTTGGTACCAGGAGCAGGTAGGTTTGGGTTCAGCAACAGTGGCTGTGTCCAAACTCGAAAGGGGCCTGTGAGGATGGGGCTATCTTTGCCCCTCGGAGAATCTCTGGAGCCACTCGGCCAGCAAGGCGAGACTCCATGCAAACTGTCATTGAGAGTGCAGGATGAATCAACTCTGTCTTCACCGTCCCTTCTCACAGTTAGATGATTTGATGGCTCACAACCCTTTCCAAAGACTTAGCCAGAAAAGGCCAGGCCAAGCCTCTGTACTGAGAGGGGGCTGCATTGCCGGGGACACCAGCTTTCACAGGAGACATTAAATACTTGAACTTTTCCAGTGTCTCCTGAATGGTGAGTCAGTTCAGCATTGGTGTCCTTGGACAATGGTTATCCCTCATTAAACCAGATGATCAAACCACGAACACCATCAGATGACTGTTTATTGGAGCTGCAGTTGGTGATTTACCTTCTGGGCTTCTGAATGATAGCAATGACTGCCCAATAACATTGGAAATAGGATCAGGAGTAGGCCATTCAGCCCCTCGAGTCTGCTCCTCTATTCAATGAGATCATAGCTGATTTTCTCCTCTTAAGTCATTTTCCTGCACTCTCCCATGCCCCTTCCTGTGGTAATCAGGTCAAAATCTCTGTCTTGACATTGACTGAGCCTCCACAGCCTTCTGGGGCAGAGAATTCCAAAGGTTCACCAGTCTCGGAGTGAGGAAATTCCTCCTTATCTCTGTCCTAAATAGCTATCAATTCTGAGACTGTGCTCCTGGTCCAAGACCAGTCCCAATTCTCCCAGCCAGAGGGAAATGTTTAGCTCAGTTGGCTGGAGGCTGGTTTGTACTGCAGTGTGATGCCAACAGATTGGGTTCAGTTCCCGTACTGTCTGATGTTACTGTGTAGGTCCTGCCTTCTCGACTGTGCCCCTGCTCTGAGGTGTGGGTGACCCTCAAGTTAAACTCCCCGCCGGCCATCTGTCTCTGGAATGAGAGATTGATCCTCTGCGAAGGTGGTCACTTCCCTCATCCATGCCCCAAGGGGCTAGGGGAGCTTTACCTGATTTCTGCTCATTGGAAGCGCTTGGCCTCAAAGTTACATTTCCATAATTTAATTGACTCAGTCAAACCAAGCCTTGCGCGGTCATGGTGAGCTGATCTGACTGGTTACTGTCGGCACTGACACCATCTGGCCACCCCCACACTGAGTCATTCAGGGGCACCCAAAGGAGGCCACTCTGTCCATGGGTTCCATGTTGGC